GGTCTCCATCTAAATCATACACCAGTACTCCGTACTTACCTAAACAGTACACTGTAGGTAACTGATGATGATCAGCCAAGCTTGGCACGGGCCTCTCTTCAGCGCTGTCGTCTGTTGATGGATACTCTCATGATAGCATGAAAATTATGGACTTGGATTGACTGTTCCTCGCGCGCCACCGCCAGCTTTCGTGGTGCTTTCTCGACCAGTGGTTCCATCCCTGCCATCTGCACCGATCCCTGTCATCTTGCTCATCCTGGCTGGCTTCTTCTTCTCTTGCAGCTTCTTGTGTGACATGGTCCTTTCTCACTTGCTGACATAGTTCTCTTTTCTTTTTCTATTTTCATTCGAAAAGAAGGGTTTCTTAATTGCCTCATGTTTGATACATTTACTGAACTAGTATCGACTACACCGTACAAAATACGTTCCCAGAAACAGTGGAGAATGGAGAATGGGTCTGGAATGTTGGGGGATTCGAATTTGACCATTTCGCCCAAATTCAACACTCAAGACTCGGTAATGACCGGCTTGCGTTTTGGACACTTCCGTCAGAAATGACAATCCAATTGTCTTGCTAGCTAGTCATTAAGCTGTCTTGCTTCAGTCCCTTCTCTTCCTTCCTTCTTCCATTCATTCATTCATTCTTTCTTTCTTTAGGTTTGTATCTGGCGGGCCCGCAGTCCGCACCCTAACGCCCTCCAGATCGACCCGAAGCCTTATTCCACTGATACACACTGTCGCCCACACGAATAGATACATAGATCGTTAGTGGACTAGCTAGCAAGGTTGTGGGTGACGCCATGGCCAATGGGTTCCTCGTTGCCCGAGACGGATCCACTTGGTCGGAAGCTACTCATCGTTGGCGTTTCTCTAGTCTGCTCGTGCAGCCCCTTGTAAACAGGTCGTAAGCCTCGTATTGACATCTGGCATTCCGCGCAATGTGGGTTTGCAAGAGTCAAAGCGATGCTGACAAAGGTGAAAGTCGCTCTGGAAATTAACGTCCTCGGGGTTTGGCGGGTATTATCGTCATAAGGACGAAAGCATCTTTAAGAGCCGGCGGAGCATTGACGTTGGTAGAAGCGTACGGATTCGACTTATCGGAGGTTCGTGGATCATTGGGTCTGTACCGAACGCTTCTTGCTTCTCTACATGATCGTAGTTAGGTGCTATCTTTCTATGATCCACCGCCGTTTAGACTTGCGGAAATCTTGCAGCTGTCTTATTTGCAGCTCTCTATCGAGAATAGACATGTTCGTACAGTAGTTAGGAGTACTAGTTGCAACTTGTCTAATCTTTCTTGCTTTGACTATCGAGCTTTAGCTCATCCCGACAGCACCACTTGGCGCCAGGATTGCTTCAATTTTATCTCGATCAGCGCTGCGCATTGCAGTCATTAAAGTTGCATGGTTCTTTATCTTTGTTACTTGTAATGGTAGCGAAATCCCTCTGGTATCTCCCTTAGTTGACGAATTACTGTATTCGGCGATGGATTTTCTGGTTCGCCTTGTTTGGGTGGGCCTGATGGTCTCGTGGCGAAGACATCTGTAACCCTGAGACATTCCTGTCAATAACCAATTAACCATGGTCCATCTGGCTGATTTGAAGTCTGGAATATTCGTATGAAACAAATGAATGCTCTCAGAACTGCAATACAACAGGTGCAAGGCTCATGGCTTAATGTTTTGTCAACGATACTCAAAACGCTATCTCGTCGATTTGTCAGAAGGTCTTGTCATTTGTCAATCCCGAGGATAGAAAATCTTTAAAAGATACATGAATAAAAAAAGAAATGAAAAAGAATGAATAATTTCGCTCAGGATTTGGATTGGGCCACGGATCGCCCGCCAAGAACGATCCAGCATTATCCTAGCATTGCAGGACGATCGAATTACTTACAGTAACACGATCGATCCCAACACTTTGCTCTGGGGATAGCGGATAGTCTCTGCAGTATTCATTTCAAATTGCCATCCGTCAGTTATTATCTGCTAATTTGGCGGGCAAAAGGAATACAGGTCAATATGCTCTATGATTTGAAATTTTTCGGTTAGCTAACTCCAGGTCCGAAACTATGTACAATAGATAATCCCTGAGGTTTATGAAGCGCAAGTAACGACATGGTGTTTCAAATTATTATATTATCCACCCCTCAACAGCTCATTCCTCTTGAATTCAATAACTGATCCTGGGGCTGATTTGCAGTGCGTGAGTTGTTTTTAATCATTGCCCGACCCTGCAGAAACAGACGTTCGTTTCCTTGAACATCATCTTCGGCAGCCTTCCATAACTCAAGCGCTTGAAACAGGTAATTTTATTTCATTTTCATTTATATTTATCATTTTATTTTTTTCCTATTTTTTTGGTCCTTATTATTTTTATGCTTGATCATTCTTTTCCCTGTACAATTTGACTGTCATTTCAATTGCTGCCACCTGCTGTTTTGATGTACCAAATTTATCCATCCTCCTCTCGGGCCAATCGCTGTAGCCGAGTCCGCAAGACAGCGCTTCAGCAGAGATCATCGTCCTCTTTAACCCAAACGGTCGTTCCTTTTCGGAGACGTGTTTAGCTTATCCGGCCGGCGGTGGTCCTTGCTTCGTGGCGGTTCTGCGAGCGAGGATCGTTCTTCTCTCTCTGTGGTTGTCTGTCTGAGCTTGACACCCAGCATTGGGCTTCGGGTCCTGTCATTCTAGACTCTGAAGCCTGCCACAGTAAGGTAAGAGAAGGATCAAGCCTACCAGTACCAAGAGGAGGAGAAGAAGCAGCAGATCCCGTTCCCACGGTGTATCGGCCCTTCTGCCAAAAAAGACGCACGGTCTTCTATCCAGAAGATCCTACTCTTAGCCGATGCACATCTTTTTTATTTTTTATTTTTATTTTTATTTATTACAATTCTTTTTTCTTTTTCATTTTTTTCCCCCCTCGCTCTTCCTGGTATTTGCTATTATTACTATCCCATTTCCTGCTAAATTATTGTCATTATATCATGATTTTTCTTATCATCTCACTTACTATTCGTACTCCCGTTCAGAGTAACTCCTTAGCAATTTCTTCCTGTCTTCTTCTTTTTTATTTATTTATTTTTTATTTTCTATTTTAAGTCATTGATTGGATGGATTTTTCTGATTTATTACTGTCCAAGAACCAGGCCTACTAAGCGGTAGTTTGTTGACGGACCGTCGAAGGACCCACAAGTGCCCGCCCTGCTCTGCTTCTCCAGCACCGAAGGATCAAGGATCCATACCCGGTCGGGGGCTTAGATAAACGAAGAAGAGGGACGCAGAACCCCATCAGCAGAAAGTGTAAGAGAGAAACATTTTGCAACACACAAGTTGCCTTGCAGCTACCTTACCCTTACATTCCCGTGCAGCAGCAGTCTTATCCAGCCTACTGTCTGTCAGCGGTAGAGAATCATCTTGTCATTGCACGTGTTGTTGGTACGTTGACGTTTCTGTTCCTACTACTCTACTGCTATGCCTACGGAGTACTATTCACTTATTTGCGTCCATTGACTGTATTGTTGCCGATCTCCTGCCTTGCTGTTGTTGTTTCCTGTCCCCTCTGGTTTTGACTCGGCTGGAGGGTTGAGTTCACTCCTCAGTGACCCTTCTTTCGATCGAAGGATACATAGGATTACAACCAGTCCCCGCCATAGCTTGGTGCGTGAACGGATATCCAAAGATAGGCTGAAGGTTCCTCCTGTGCCTGCTGGACTGGCTATCTAAGCCCCTGGAATCCTTCGGTTTGATATTCGAAGGCTGTCATTGTCATTATTGCCTATGGACTTCTTCCATAGTTCTATTGCGCACCCAGAATAACCTTCTTCGTCCTGATCCCCTTGTTTGACATTGATCCACCCTGTCTTCGTTCCCCTCTATTTTACCTCGCAGCTTCTTCGTCTTCGCCTTCCGACCTCTTTCCTCCCAAGCCTCTTTTGGCTAGAAGACCACCACCAGCCTCCCACTAAAACGCGGAAGCTCAGCGGCTGCCGCCCCCTCTCTTCGCCCTTTCTTCCCCTCCCAACCCAAGTTTACACAATCCTCGCTACCAACCTTCCCCTCCGCTCGGCCCATCCATTGATTCATGATTGATCATTCTCCTTCCATATGTGAGAGCTTACCTCTGATCTAAGGTTCCCTGCCCAGCTCTGTACTGCACATGCATGCATACATTCCATACACCACCTGCGCATGCATACAATATTACTCTAGGACATTGAAGCTCCAAGACAAGACAAGAGAATAACCTAAATCAGAAGGGAAGCAAAAAAAAAGAGAGAGTGGGAGCGAAAAGTTGGTACGCATAGCCCTACAATTACTTTTATTCTTACTTTCTTTCTTGTTTTTCCATTTATTGTTATTTTTCCCCTTCCTTTTTCTTTCCAAACCAACCCTTCTCTTCCACCTTTTTTCCGCACTCCAACCGACCTGTCTCACAGCTGCTGCGACCGATTAGGCTTAGCCTCAAGAGGTCCAGTCCGGTCTTGTCCTGCGTTTGCTGTACTACCAGTACCAGTCCCAGTCTACACCATCTCCATTATTATTACCTATTATTCTACGTACCAAGACTGGGCCTATCACTCCCCCAGCCTCCACTTTTCCGTACATGATCTCCCCGTCTGCCTGACCTCTCTTTTCTATGGGTCCTATGTCCTATGTCCCATGCAAATGCAATCAATCATTCTTTGCCTCCCACCGCCTTCGAGCCTCGTCTTCCACTTCCATTCTGGTTTGATCTTCCCAATCTGGACTCTGAGAGTTTGATCTTCGATTTCTTCTCTTTTCCTCTTATATTTGCCGCCGGAAATATAGGGTTTTTTTTTTCTTTTTGCTTTTTCCCTTTTTTCTTAATTTGATTTTACCCTGCACCAGTCTCCCTTTGCCGCGTCGTCACCGTACCATCCCTTCCGTTTGATGGCTCTTATACATACCTACAGGATCCCGCCTTGATCTTCTCAACTCAACCACTCTGCTTCCATGCTTTATATTTTCTTTTCTTGCATGACCAAGTTAATGACCTGAATGCTTTACTTACTCTACTTCTGCGATTACCCTTAGACTGCTCTGACTCCAGTGTCGATCCATCAAGCGGTATTTGACCTGCAACGAGCTATCACGGACTTCCCACCTGATAGACACCGTATACCCGACTCGGCACACAACATTGTGGGTTTATGAGAAGCACTGTTTCGACGTTCGATGCTGGAACTTCGCGTCGCCCCTCCCACATCCCTATATTCTTTACGATTTGAATGAGACCCATGATTGCCTGCTTCTGATCTGGTTGAGCGAGTTTTGTTGACCAATCTGCGATCCGTTCTGCGTCTCGCTTCCCCGAGCTGTCTTGTTCGTGTCGATCCTCCATAAAAACTACTCACCTTTTGTCGAAGAAAAGTTTGTGGATGTAGATTTCTGTCAGTACACACTGCATAGCGATTTTCTCTGTCCAGCAACAGTCTTGAAACATTTCACGCTTACGACGTTCGACGACCTTCCACGATTGATCATTGCATTGCCTGCACCACTTCCTGAGCACGCGTTTTTGAATCTCACGAGACCTTGTCGTGAGAATCGGCTTTTTTATTTGTTTCTTACGAAAACGACGGACTTCTCGACGCGGAGATCGAATCTGATATCCGTAACCTCTGCAACAAAACACAACAACGGAAATATACACGCAAGAAGAAGAATCTCATATACGGTACGCCGGACGCTCATAGTTCGACGTTCCCAGTGCTCCTTCGCCACTACACTTTCAAACCGTTACCCGTCAAACCGAAAAGCTGGAGCTACCGTCGATCTCCCAGGTCCACACAAGAGGTCCTGTTGATATCCCTTGGTACAACCACCACGCCGCGGAACGACCTCTGTTGTCTGGTGACAAACTTCCGGCACTCAGTCTTCCCACGGCCTCGCAGCCGATCGTCTCGGGGCAGTCCTACCGGGCTAGCTACGAAGAGTCGGTTCCAGGTTCGACCAGCTCAAGCGCTCGGACAAGCCTATCGTCCGGGACCGCACCAACCATCAGCGAGGCCAGAACTCCGCCGTCTGTTGACCTTGTGGCTGGTGGACACGGCCGTCTCTCCCTGGAATCTTCCGCCTCGCAGGACTATACCGTTGCGCAGAATCCGGCGAGCGACAGCTATTACCCGAATCCAACCCCTCTGGGCAGCATGAACCAAACGCAACCCTACATGGACGTGCACTCGTCGCACCTTTCATCCGCGCAGCCGTACGCTTCTCAAGCGCCGACGGCAGGAGCAATGGCCCACTATCCGCAATATCACCAGCAACCGCCTGTCCTGCAGCCTGCCTCGACCTACGGTCCTGCCAGCTCTTACTCGCAATATGCCTATCCTAGCGGTGTTGCCTCGAGCCAGCCCGCGCCACCCCCGCCATCAACGTCGATGAGCAGCCAGGTCCCTGCTCAGTTACTGCCTTTGCCTGGTAAGCTTTCTGGGCATTTTTGTATATATGCGTTGATGTACTAACTTCCTCTAGCAGTCAACAGCCACACAGTAACAGCTCCTGGGTATGGCAACACCACAGGAACACCGATGCAAGGGTTCGTTTATGATACCACTGGACAGTTGGCGCCCCCAGGGGCCAAGCCGCGAGTCACTGCCACCTTGTGGGAAGACGAAGGGAGCCTCTGTTATCAGGTAGAAGCTAAGGGAGTCTGTGTTGCGCGCAGAGAAGGTAAGCATCTCTGAATCGAGACAGACGGACGGATAATGTTATTAACAATGAATAGACAACCACATGATCAACGGTACGAAGCTACTCAACGTGGCTGGCATGACTAGAGGTCGTCGGGACGGCATCCTCAAGAGCGAGAAGGTCCGCCACGTTGTGAAGATTGGGCCTATGCACCTGAAGGGAGTGTGGTATGTCTTATTTATGAAACATTGGTCAAGGGCAATGCTAATCGAATGCAGGATCCCCTTCGAGCGCGCTCTGGAGTTTGCCAACAAGGAAAAGATCACTGATCTACTCTACCCCTTGTTCGTGCACAATATCGGTGGCTTGCTGTACCATCCAACAAACCAGACTCGGACGAATATGGTCGTGCAGGAATCACAACAACGGCGACTGGAGGGCCCGCCATCCGCGCGGACCCCCCAAGGCTCTCAGCCGCCAGGTCTGCACCACCATCACTCCATGCAGACCTCCATTCCTTCCCAAATGCCTCAGCCACCTACGATGTCCTCGCAGCCTGGTGCTCGTCCTCCGCTCGACCGAGCACATACGTTTCCCACGCCACCCGCCAGCGCCTCGAGTCTCATGGGCCTTTCAAACCAGAGTACCTCGTATGACTGGAATAGCCAAGGCATGACCTCTGGCGTACCAAACACTCAGCCATTGTCAATTGATACCACTTTGAGCAACACACGGTCGATGCCCACGACCCCAGCGACGACGCCTCCCGGCAACAATCTGCAAGGCATGCAATCGTACCAGAGTCAATCCGGGTATGACACTTCGAAACCGTACTACTCGACTGCTCCGTCTTCGCACCCGCACTACGCTCCGCAGCATTCCCTGTCACAGTATGGCCAGACGATGCCGCCTCATTCTTACATCAAGAATGAGATGGCACCACCTGCGGGACGGGGCCCGGGAGGACAGTCGGAGACTGAAACTTCGGATGTCAAGCCCGCGGACCGGTACTCGCAGAGCAATGGACACGTTGCTCCTGGGGCGGGCGAGTCTGGCCCTGAGCACGAGTCGGACTACGTGCAGCATGACAATTCGGGCTACGGCGCCCCTCGGAGTTCCTACACTTATACCACCAACACCTCGGTTGGTAGTCTCGCGGGCGAGCACTCGCAGCTGACAACTGACATCACCGGCTCTCCGCAGCAGAACGGGTCTGGACGTATGACCCCGCGGACAAGTGGCGGGCCTCCTCCCCAATGGGCGTCGGGCTACGCGTCTCCTCGACCGACCGCTGCCAGTAGTTTGTATAATATTGTCAGCGACACTCGCGGGTCGTCGAACGGAGCTGGCTCAGATAACTACACTGTGGCTTCCAATTCGGCGCCGACATACTCCATGAGTGGATCGTTGGGATCTGGCAAGCGGGGACGGGAAGACGACGACTTGGATCGCATGGGCCGGCCAGATAACCAGGGAGAGTACGAAAGCAAGCGCCGACGGACCAATGAAACGACAGTTGGCGGACCGGTTGGCGGAGTGCTGATGGGACTACAGCCGATGAAAGCCGGAGGTGCCATACCTCGTCGTCGATGATATGTCATAGACAGCCGAACTTTGTAGTTTGGCTTCCGACTTTGCATTCGTTTATCTGGTTGTTCAGGGTAAAGAAGGTTAGAAAAGGGGACGGGTCCCTCATCCCATCGGCGCGTGGGAGGAAAGCCTGTGCGGTCTTCAGTAGACCTTGTGCTTGTTTCTTTTCTTGTTTTTCCTCTCTGCGAGTTTTTATTGGGGTCCTTGTTAGGATTCCTTTGTTTGGGTCATTAATGGTTGCAGCGTCGGCCACCGACAGCTTCTGCATTGATTTCATACTCCGGATGATCAGCGTTATGGTGCCTTTGGGTCATATTGTGGAATGTGCGGTTGTTTTCTGAAAGGATATACTGCGTATTGACGACCATGATGACACGAATTTCCTTGGACGAGCCTTCTTTTCTCTTATATGGTCCACTCTCCATTCATCGCATGTAGGGATATGGACAAAATTGATTGGGTTATGATACAGCAGTTCATGTAGACCATACCTTATGCTATAGCCATCCCTTGTTGTAGGCATAGACGCTAACCCAATGCAGAAAAACATCAACATCTGAACCAAGGTTCACTGCTCCTCTGACTTTTCTTACCTGCACCTCCCTATTCCCACAGCATTTACACCTCCCTACGTATACAGCTAAGGGGAAAAATGCCTCCCCCAACCCCAGCAAACCACGACATCTTCGACCCGTGGAACTCCTCCGCAACAGGCCACCAGCGGGCCGAAAACCCCTACTCCAACACCACCAGCTGGCGCGAGACCCGGCGTGCAAAGCTTGCCATCCAGTTCGCAGGCGATACTACCAAGACCAACGGCGGAAGTGGAAATGGAGGTGAAGGGAGAGGGGACTGGAAATGGCTCTCCGCCGCGGAGGCCTCCCGCAACCAGCTCGGATGCAGGGATATCCGGACGATGATGGGGACGACTAGGAAGCGTGCTTCTGCTTCTGCTTCTGCCGCCGACGAACACGTAACCGGAGGGAAATGCAAGAAGGGGAAGACGGAGACGGAGACGGATATACTTGACACACAGACCGAACCCGAACCTGAAACCGAAGCCGAAGCTGAATCCAAACCACAGGATGATGAAGACGAAAGTGGGGAGAAGAAGAGGAAGATCCTCACCGGAACAACGATCTACATCAACGGCTCGACAATGCCTCATATCTCAGACCATCGACTCAAGTCGCTTCTTGTCTCGCACGGCGCGCAGGTCGCCATCTCCCTGGCGAGGAGGAGCGTCACGCATGTTATCGTTGGGAAGCCGAATGCGGGGCCTGCTGGTCGGGCTGGGGCCGGGGGAGGGCTCGCGGCGGGCAAGTTGCAGAGAGAGATTAGCAGGGGCGGGTGGAGGGGTGTGAAGGTTGTTGGGGTTGAGTGGTATTCTCTCTCCCCTTCTTTTTTCTGTTGTATAACCGGTTGGGGGGGCAGGTGCTAATGAGCGATGTGTAGGGCGTTGGAGAGTATCAAGGCGGGAAAGAGGCTTTCGGAGGGGCGCTTTGCGATGGTTTTGGCGCCGGGTGGGCAGAGGAGTGTGATGGAAATGTTTCCACGGGTATGATTTTTCCTTATGCATTGCTTGGTGTTGGTGTTGGGCATATACCCCGGCGTTCTGGTTGATTTTGACGACGAAACGAGTCTACGCGTTGATTCCAAAGGATAATACAATTTACATGAACGGCAATGGTTATTCGGCTGTGGTGCATGTGCATTTATCGGGGATGCTATCTTCTTTTTGTTCGGTGGGAAGTTCTTGGTTTGGAAGTTCTAGAGTATGGACTGCAGTGTGTATATCTATCAATCTGTGAAAAGAGGCAAGGGACAAGGAAGAGGCAGGGTCATGTCTATTCATCAGTCATGGTCATTATCATATCATACATATCATCCAATATACAATCATCACTAGATAAATGCCCCCCGGTTCATCGAGGAAGGGCTGTCGCCGTGCCCCGGTACAGGACGCCGCCAACCTCGGCCGTCCGTCCCGCCGGGACTCGTAGGCGACCGGAGCTCAACTCGTATATGCGAGTCCTCCCCGGCGATGAAAGGCGCCTCGTCTGGCAACGGTGGCAGCGGATTCGCTCGGGGTGGAGACGAGGATTGCGAGCTGCCGCCTGGGTCCGCGGTCGCAGTCACGGATCGGGAGGATGGTAATTGCCAGCCGCTTTGCATCTCGGTCGGGGAGGTCTGCGCAGCGTAACCATAGTCATAATTGCCGTGGCCATAGACCATCGACGACCCATACGGCTCAGGGGAATTCGAGATGGACTCGCTCGACGACGAGTCGATCCGTTCCAGCTTCTCGTGCATGTCCCAGTCCTCCCCGCCGGGAGCTCGCGAATCCCCTTTCACTAGCCCCAGGCGTTCCTCCTCGGTAGCTCCTTTCATGGCTTGCCTCTCGGCACCGGGAACCAGGTGGCTGCGACGCAGAATGCTGCGAGGCGAATGAGGCGGCGGTTTGGGTGGCTCACTCTCACTCTTCGACCTGATCCTGTTGAAGACTGTGTTGAAAGAAAATTGCCGTTTGGCCGAGTGTAGCGAGGCTTCCCGGTCCGGCGTCTCGTCCGCCCAAGCGATAGACCGCGATGTGTCAGTCTGTCCGGAGACTTCGCGCATCCCCGCTCCGTGATAACTCGTGTCCGAGGTTTTGGTCCCATGGACGGGAGAGACAGTCAGATGGACCGGATCCGCGTGACCGTCTTGGGGATTATAGACTTGGTGCCATTGCCCGGGATGCATGATATTCGAGGCTCGCGATCGCAGATCATCCAGAAACGAACGGTCGCTCTGGCGGGTACTCGGTCTGCGGTCGGGATCGTTGTCGTCTGGAGATTCTGACATGCCCAACGGAGGATGAGAATAAGAGATAGACGTGCGAGGACGCGCCATGGTCGGGCCCTGTCCCAGAACGGTCTTGCGTCGCCGCAGACCGTCCCATTCGATGATCTCGTTCTCCGCCGGGGGCTTGAGGTAATCTGCCTGCTTGTCTCGGATATACCGCCGCGCTTCCTCCTCTTCCATGCGACGGCGTGCGGTTGATATGCGTCGGATGATCGCCGCAGCACCACGGATCGAGTCTGCCTTGGGCTCGGTCTCTGGTTCTTCCTGCGCGGCCACCTCTCGAATCTGATCCAAATCTCCTTTGAAGACGGCCGCGTCGGGTACATCTTTGGCCGACTTGGATAGCTGCAACAGAACGACACCCGCGCAGATCTGCAAGAATCCAAGGATGACGGTCGCGATCTGCATGCCGGTGCCTTTGAAGCCTTGGAACAAAATGGCGGAGGAGACGATGGTCGAACTCGTAAAGAAGACGTAGTAGGTGGGGGTGACTAGGGCGGCATTGAAGAGGTTCAACGCTTTCTGCGGTGGTCAGCGGTTAGCACAGTTTCTTGGACCCCAGACAGAAGAACATACATTGAGATAGATAATTTCCGTCAGTAAGGTTCCAATGACAAACACAAGTAACACGTATAGAAACCACTCCTTGAACTGTGATTTCCCGTTGATCTGAGCCAGAATGGCCGCCCCAAGACCCTGGGTGGCCACCACGCTCAACCCACCGATCAAACTGCAGATACTGATGTAGACGAACATGGACTTCTTGCCGTACCGCGGCCCCAGCCAGAGCGCGACGACAGCGCAGCCCACGATGACGACACCCGCATACGACAGGAACCCCGGCGCAATGACATAATGTTTCATATCCTGGATATCGCTGACGGACGACTGTTCGGGGGCGTTGAGAGCAATCACAACCGATCCGATAATGCACGAGAAACAGCCGACCTTGCCGACGAAGCTGAGCCGCTCTTTCAAGAAAATCGCTGAGAGAATGGTGGTGATCACGACCGAGAGCGCCCCCAGCGGCGTGACCAGGATCGCATCGACAAACGCATACGCAACGAAATTGCATATCTCCCCGACAATCATGAGAATCATACCCGACCACCACCAGAAGTTCTTGAGGTATCCGTACCCCTCGCCCGCTTCTTCATTGTACTTGACGTTCGCCTTGAGGAGACCCGTCTTCTTCAGCACGAACGAGGTCCCGATGAAGACACCCGAGGAGACGGCCAGCGCAATGCCGACGGCTTTGTATGCGGGGGGACGCTCGCTGGTGGAACTCGAGCTGCCGGACCGGACGGCGAGGGTCGTGGCATGGGCCACGAGAGAGTGGGAAATTTCCATGGAATCGTTCAGGGCATAGCACTGCCAGCAGTGCTCTTATCAACCCAAGAAAAAACGGTTTGAGTGTATATCTATATGTCGGACAAGACCGTCGTCGTAGTCGTAGTCGTAGTCGTAGTCGTACGAGTCTGGCGTTAGGCCATGAATCAATGCAATATGCTGAACCTCAACCACTGGAAACTGATCTGGCACGAGACCAGCGAAACCTGGCAGTTATCAGGCGCTTCCAGGGTCGATGAAGAGGCCCCGGCGGCGGCAAATTAATTAATCAGACTAGCAAAAGTGGAGGATCCAGTGGTGGCTGAGGGCCGCGTGGTTTCAGGAATGTTGGGATGGGCCGATAAGGATTAAGATAAGGCCACGAGGAAGAGATGCAAGGGAGAAGATTGACAATATCAAAAGCAAAAGAATTCAAGATACAAGGAAGAACAGACCGTAATGGAACATGATGAAAAGGGGTTCGAATTCAATTTGCAGAGTCTTGATGGAAATGAGATAATGAGTGGGCGAGACGAACAAAAGAAAAAGTGGCTGGGCCAGTGAGTACGTCTCGACCAACGGCGCTCTCCCTCTGTCTCGGAAAATTTGGTACAGCTGATGAGAATCGTCCAGTTCCTAATCTAAGAATCGGTTATCATCCATGGTTGTTTCTGATATTTATGGACCATGGATCTACGGAGTAGTGTGATAAAAATAGTTACTGGGAAATGCATAAACTACGGGTACGGTCTATACATCCACCATCCGCTTCATGTACCAGAGCCATCATTACAAAGGACAAAGATGCAATAAGATTCAATCCATTAACTACTTGTCTTCTCTTGGGGTATCCACCGGTAGTAATTACATCATAAAGCATAGGCCAAAGCGACGATCCCCAAATATAACCAAACGGTGTAAACGCCTCAAAGCCAAAGTCTTCCTATACATGACGTAATCAATCATCGCACATGATAACTGGGTTTCCGCTGCTTGTTTACCACTGGAGGAGGCTCATCAACGGGATAAGGCGGCCGGACCTTCCCAGTAGACCCATTCCGACCATGGTGCACCACCAGGGGCATCGGCATCAGCGTCTCGTTCGCATTATCGGGATAGGGAATTGGGGTCTTTGGCGGCACTGGAGGTGGTAAGCTACTCTCCTGCACCTGGTCCATGCTCAGCCGAGGCGACGCCATTTGTTGCTGCGAGCCGGGCCGACTAGAGTCGCTGTGAGTATAGCTGAAGCTACCGCTGGACACCCGTCCTGACGAAGGATAGACGCCATCCTGCGGGGTCGGATGAGGCGGTAGCGTGTCCTCAGCCGGAGGGGACGGAATCCGCAAGCTGCTTGACGGAGGCTGATGTGTCATAATCGGTGCAAAGTCGCCAGGTAGCTCAGCGGGCAATTCAACCGCCATGGGGTTGGAGGGCGGCGGCACAGAAAATACTGGCCCTTGCGAAGTGTAGCTCTGAGGCGAGAATGCCACATCTTCGGTTGGCTCCGTGGACGGATCATATCCAGCGGCCGCATGCGCAGCCAGGCGCCGGTGCATGCGCTCGATTTTTGCGAACTTGACCCCGGCGTCCAGGATGCTTTTCTTCACCTCTGGCTTGGACAGGTATCGTCGGGTATTGGTGCTGATGTCGGCCAGCCGGTTCCACTCGTTCATGCCAAACTCACCCACGCCCACCTCGACATTCAGCCGGTAGTAGTTGTCCTTGTTCACTCCCCGTTTGGCCAGGTGAGTGCGAAGCATCTCCTGATGAATATCCTCGCAACCCTCGATCTTGGCGATCAGTCGTCGTCGCGCCTCGGCAAATGTGCCGAGACCATCCCCAAAGAAATCTTCCCACCACTCATGCTGCCGATTGTTCGTGCCCGGCGGACGCTTGCCGGTGCCTATGCTGATAAACACCCCAACTTCCCGCCCGGGCCACTCGTTGACAGCCGCTTCATCCAGGATCTGCGGCGCCGGATTATACGTACCTGCACCCTCATCGATAAAGAGATGCTGGCCGATTTGAATTGGTTTAAAAGCCAGCCCTGTCGCCGAAGTGGCGCGGCCGGCTTGCCAGATAGTGCAGTTGAATTCAGGAGGAGGCTCTTTGCGCGAGTCGTACGATCGCAGCAGCACTGCGGATCCGTTGCGGGGGGTGCCTTTGTATAATGCCGTCACGGCACTGATCAGTCAGTACGATTCTCAGACAAACGTCCCTGGCAGAATTAGACTTACGTCTTTGTCCGATTTTCCCGATTATCGTAGAGTAGAGCATCCGGATTCCCCCACCGTAGCCCGTTGATGATGGCGGAATGTCGCTGACTGATCGGCGTCGAGGGATGCGAAGCGCCAGACGTGCTGAAACTGCCTCGACTCACGGAGCGCTGCG